ATTTGTTGGCTTTGTGGCTGCACATGAACCCCATCGTTGATCACATTCGTACTTCCAACGAAACAGATGGTCTGTCTAAATAATGCGACATGTTGTGTTGGTGTATTGAAAGAATTTTTCAGTGAAAGTACATTCATGGGTTCAGTCTCCCAATCCTGTGTTCCACGTCGCACTACAGCCGGTTAATAAAATTACTTGGAAAGATAGCCAGGAAAAGTAGTTAAGTTTAGTGCCAAGGGTCAGTAACACCCAACTTGCTGGTACCATACTGTAATTGCACGGAAGCCAAGGATCACGGGCGGGACGGACAAGCCGCGAAAACTAAGAAAGATGAAAAGTCACGAGGACACCAGGAAGCAAAGTAGACAAAGTAGCTCGAGGCCTACGGAAAAAGCTGAAAATAGTCAACAACGACAAACGATGTCAGGCTCAGACCGAGAAGTGCGGGGGGGGCGTAGTTGTGGACAGCCCGGCGCGTTTGACCGCGCCGCCAGGACTAACCACGTGGAGAGCGTCTCAGTCCCGAGTACGCAAATCAAGGGCATTAGAACGAATCCAGCTCGGTCAGAATAGAAGGTGCGGAAGCGCAGATACGAGGGAAAATGGGCGAGCAGCGGCTGCACACATCGGCTGAAGTCGGGGCATGAATGCAACACCGAGTGAAAGGAGGTGATGAGTGGTGGTCAGGAGATGTCCTCCATAACTGCATGCGTGCATGCTAACCTATGAACACGTTGTGCGTTGACAATAAAGACTGTGCGTCCCTAGCGCTCGTTCTCGCTACAATACGTATGCTCCTAGAGATGACTGAAAATTAACCAAGTATTCTGGGGTGCAGAATGGTGTAGCAACACAATCAAAAATAACAACGGTGTGTGAAGAGAACTCAATACTTTTGCCATTAGTGTGCAAGTTAATGCGATTGCCTCTGCGGTTATTTGAGAACTACAACACCAACTTCCGTTTCGTGATAAAGTTTTAATATGCTTAAGTTGTTCCGTTTTTCCGCCTTACTATGTTACACGATTTCGGGTAGTAAAGAGACGATAGATATTTATAACTCCATGCCTAATGGCCTTAATGGATTGTGACGCGTTCCTGCAAGGCGATTGCAGATTATTTTCATGATGCAATTGTTGTGTTGCGAAGCGATGCGAGAGCAGCAGAAATTTACGCTGAGGAAAGTCACTTAACTTGAGTGGATCGTTTTACAACCGCAGCGGGACCGAACTAGACAAGATGGCTGGTTGGCTAAAAAGACAAAATAGTATTCCTGGGAGAGGCCGGTTGTCTCCTCCTAACTTTATACAGTTGAGCAGCCGTTATACGGACCTCATTGCTGTTACCCTCGTAAATGTAAGTCAATTCACCATGTAGACTCGATGTGGCTGTGTGGAAATAACACCCTTACGTTTTGGTGGAAAGCTACCGACCTCGGACTGGTCCCAAGTAACTCAACATCCGCCCTGCGATCAACCAGATAGAGCGCCACTGGGACACGTGACATCCAAGTGGTCATATACCGGATGAGTGGCCTTCAGCCTAGGGGCTATTGCCCCACACCTAAGTTTGCCTATTGGAGGATTGATGCCCGCCATCGTTCGTCATCCTCTGCTAAACACACACTATACGCTGTAGTATGCTACTTTGGATTTTAGCAGGAACTTCAGTCAACGGATACATGAGTACAATGATCATCAGGTGCTGCAGCATTTGGCCGCTCTCCATGTCATGACCACCTAGATCTCCCCTGGCCATAATTCCAACCAGCTGTGCAATCGCCTCTGAATATGGATCAGCTACGTACTCCCGGTCAACAGATAAGACGCCTTCTTGGTAATCCACAATTCGAGTCTATATCGTTGTGGGTGGCGCGCAGTATCCCCGGTCAATAAGCGACTGCTGGTAATGTTCGCGTAATAGCGAAGCGTCGCTACGACACACCGGCGCTTTGTTGATACTCACCTGATACTCACCTACGTTGGCAAACGCATTAATGTGAATTTCTTCAGCTATCAAGGTGCTTATTTGCGCAAGTGCATGGATGGTGCACCTCAACCCCTGCGTGTTATTGTGATTCTCCCACATATCTTGGCATGGACTATTTGTGTATGAACACAAAGTACCGAATTAGCTTTTAGAACAGTGTTTCATCCCATCACGGCTAATATTTTAACGGGTTAACTACCAGTTCGTGTGCACAGTGGGGACGTTAGTCAGATGAGTCTTAATCGCAGTTTATTGGATGCTCTGGTGCCAGTGCTGTTGTTATTGCAGCCACGTCAGGGATTGTGCGCTCATGGCAAATCAATGTTTTTGGTGGCATGGTTCTGATGGCTACACCGTAAACGTTGGTTAACCGTGTGATCAATCATCCAGTAATGACTTACCGTGCTCAGATTGGATCCTGTTACAGAGCAGATCGCAAGATAGTGACCGACTGCTGTCTTATCCGGCGGTATGAACACTTTCACCTGACTGCTGCTGGAGCTACGGGGCCATTCTACCACACGTAGGCGTGGGTGGCTGAGCCAGAGGGAGAGTGCAGTTTGGCCGTTGGACTCCGGTTGTGTGAGGCTGCCCGGCTTAATGGAAAGAATTGTAAATTTGATCTGTTTATCGAAATGACTTGAAAGTGTACAACTGATCGTGTGGTGTGGTCGAATGTATAGTCTTCCAAACGATTCATGGAGTGTAGGTTTGCTGGGTTTAGGGTCAATATGGATTGCAGACCCCTGGGTGTTTACACACAGCTGTAACGCATTGGACTTCCTGGTCAGATGCATTATGCGCGGGATCTCAAATTGTCTGCTAAGCCAATCCCAGTACCGTAGCCTACCGGCTAACGGTATGCGAAGCTTCGGTTTTGAATCGCAAGTTAAAATGGCATTTGCATGCTTCTCTTCCAGGCGTAACATCCACTCTTCTGAAAGCCCTGTATACTCCGCTTTTTTGAGGCTGGACAATACTGAGGACGGAATTACGGACTTCATCAGATCAACTTTGCTCCACTGGGTTTGACTTACTTGTAAATGTATACTGCCGTTCATAATTGTGTCCACTAATCGTAAACCGGATAACAATTCGTCTTCGGCTTCACAAAACAAATGGTACGGGTTCATCGCACATTGAACAATAATATGATCCCCTGGTTGGAAGCACTTTTCGCGACCCGTATGTTCCATCCTAGATCTGACACCCAGCTGATGCTCACTTGAATTCATCAATAGCCGGCCGACAGAAGGGATGTATCGTGCCGAATCACCAGTCACTTCGGCAATTCTTAAAACTGGGTTTACTGGTGGGGGAACGATGCACAGAGGTTTGGGACTGAGCTTGACCACTTCCACATCTGGCCTACCGGAAATCGCATGTCGGTACTGACTCGCACATCCGTAATAGCCGTAGTCGCGTGACTGAATATCTGGCAGATCTAGAGTATACGAATCTGGCCATTTGGATGGGGGATAGACAAGAAATCGTTTTGTCCTACTTAGTTTACTTTTACCCCCACTTAGGAACCGACTTCTTAAGGAGACGCTCATGATGAGTTCCCGTATGGAATTCAGTGTGGGATACCGATACCATTTCACACCAATCAGTTGGTAATCGGCTCTTACCACTGTTGGCATGATTGGACATACGGCGGTTACGCTGTCCGGCAGTCGCACGAAATCTGGTTGCAGTGTGACCTCATATGACGTTCGGGGGTCTTTGCTCTCCTGGTATGTACCATGTTTTCCCAATAATGGTGGTTTTCTGTTCACATACTCACGTAGACTACGCAGGAATTGTGTCCATGTAACAGCTTGATCGTGGACGTGGTTTATGCTCCATTCATCGGGGTGCAATAGTGCACGACGAAGAGTAGTCTTACGATCCTTAGCCTTTGAGTGGCCTTCTTGCTGCCACCAAAAGGTTAGGGATTCATCCACTTCCCCTTCATGTGCGTACATATTATACCATGTTTGTGTAGGGTCATGGTCAGACTTCCTTTCCCGGGTGTCCAGCTGTGACTGGAAGCCACCGGATTGGTCTAAGCCAATAATGAACGACCATTGTGGCAAGCCAACCAGGTGGTGGTTGAGTACCGTCCTTCCTGCGGTGTCATTCGTTATGCGTGATGGAAGGCGTGACGATGAATGTTTGGTTCCCCTTTTATGAGTAACATTGACTTCAGTGGACCCAGGTATTATACCTAGAAAATGTTTCCGCTCTTTCTCCTGTTTAGCCCAACTCAATGGTTGGTTCAAATTTCTCCCAACCGCCAAGTCTGCATCTGACATCGTTTCAGATGGATGTATCCCACCAATATAGTCACGTCTGTCCAACGGGGTCCGAGTCCAAGTCGGCTGCAACCGCGTTACCAACCTTGTCCGCCGATTCACATTTGGATGATCCCGTTTCGGTGACATATACCGTCGCCTTTCTCTCTCTCTTGTAGTTCGACTATCCTCCATGTGTTTGGAGCTTCCACCAGATCCGAAGAAAGATGGTCTAATGCCAAACGGTGGAAACATCATCGAATCGGTACTCACTGGCCTCTCATCAATTGGTAAGACTCGTGATAACACTCGTCGTCTTTGGGTGGGTAGCCCTTGACGAACGTGAAAAAGATTGGTCTCTTTATCTGTCCATACTCTTTGCACTTCTTGATGATCCAGTTGTATTAGTGAAATTTGATTCTTGATTCGGGACATTTCACGTAATGATGCCGAGGACATCCACCAATTCCGTCTCTCTAGAAGGTGTAGTTTATCTACCTCAGACGTATATTTACGCTGCTGTTGTGACAGTACTTCACGGTCGGAACCCACTACTGCGTCACGGAGATAAAGATTGGTACGGTAAGGCAGCTTGAGTGTTTCATACCATAACCGTTCATCGATGCTTGGTGGAACGGTCCGGTGGTGCTGCCTCGGAGAAAGACGCAGTTCACCATGCTGATGAGACTTACCTCGTGAGAAGACGACCCCCATTGACTGATCCTTCATGCGACAAAATGTGTATCGATGATAATTATCCAAAACACTTTGTTTTATTAACCGAAAAGCAAGACAGCGTGTTTCGCTCTCTGGTGCTCCAGAGGTAACTCTTGTCGCCGCGTGTTCAGCCACAGCTTTCTCCGAGACTTCTGCTTGCCCTGATTTTTGGCGACTAAATTCATCAACAGACATCGACGTTATCTCTCTCACCCATGGTTTAGTAGATTTTTCTGGTGACTCCATCGAGGACCGAACTCTTTCAAATTTCTCTTTATCTGATTCCATTCGCTCATCTTCATGCTTAGTCTGCGAGAACCAATGATCCTCCAACGAATCCTTGCTAGGTTCGAGATTGATACGCTGATGATGCACTACTGTAAATTGCTCACTGTCGCAGTGACACTGTGCAATGCAGCTGAATATGTAAGTACCACTCCGACGTAAGGACGATAGGAACAAGCGGTTTCCTTCACTGTATTTCACAATTTCTAGATTTTCCACTTCAACTGTGATTTGCGGAACAGGGCCGGCCACCCACTGCCATCGCAGCCGAAGATTGTAGCAAGTGGGTGATGCCACACATGAAACCACTGCATTACGT